GAATGTCAAAGGAAGTATTAACCGGCATCGTGTAATCTAGCCTTTACAAACAATGATGTCGTTAGTAAAACCGCATAACACTATGATTTCGAGCAAGCCGATGTAACAGGAAATTAGTGGCCACGAATCATTGAAGAATGTGTAAAACAAAACTGGAACTTTGTCAAGTTAGCTTACATTATCTTACCACTCCGAACTTACGTATCTGGGTGTGTATATCCGTAGCTAATAAAACATAGCATTTTTGTAACTAAAAAAAGATGGGATTGAGATAGGTCGTAGAACAGAACGCGTAATGTTGGATTGTGAAGAATAAAGTCAAGTTAACCGAAAGTATACAGTCCAAGTCTATAGAACCAGCGTGTGCAGTTTCCTTTTAACGTGAGAAATTGTGCGAAATTATTGATTTTCAACACCAGTTTTACAAAAATTTCAGTAATCAAATGTTTGCTTGAGTTCAGTTGTCCACTGTTTTTGCGTGAGTTTGATTTCCTTTTGATTGCCAAACTCAGTTGAACTCAATCCATGGATTAAGTCCGATTGAAATTTAGTTCAGTTGGATATGATTGACTATTACATGCCAGGCTCATTTGTATGCCTTTTAAAAAGAATAATTTTGGACAGCAGACTTAACTGCATTGAGAGCTATTCATGGTTTGTAGATGTGCAGACACCTATAATGTATCAGTGTTAATATTAAATCTGCCTACCCCCTCCCCACCCTCCACCATCATGTTTCCACCACAGTTGGTAGACAGATATAACTTCTTGTCACCTTATTCTTATGTTAATAAACAGAACCACCAAGCTAAAAATCTATATGGATAAGTTGCAAAGCATAAATAAAGTATAAACATTTCTATGAAATTTCGAACCCGTGGATTGATCCTCAATTTAAACCAACATGTAAACTTGCATGTGGTAGTGTAGGTAAACAAACAAACTAGGTAAACTTAAAGTTATGAAAGGAACTGAGAGAAGGATGCATTTGAAAAAAATATGTAAGCGTACTTACCCGACACCTTGTAGGGACATGGACCTTTGAGTTAGCTTTCTTCGATCTCGTTTCCTTGCTACTCGAGTTGTTTTCGGCGACAAGTTTACACAAGTAGTCCACTTTGTTTGAAAGTTCTTGGAACTTAGAGGCGTTTTCTTCATCGCGCTGCCTCAATTGCTCTCTTATTGATTAGTTTTCTTTCAAAGAATCGTCCAGTAGCAGAGCAAAGCTGTCGCTCACGCTGGTGTGGTCGGAAATTCTTGACATCTTGAAAGAAAAATAGTCTACAAATCACTTCTCACGCCAAAAGTAAAGCCAGGAGTAATCGCAACGACGAGGGGACTTAGAGGGAACTTAGAGTCCTATTGTATTTACACCAACCTTCGGATGAATCATTAAATAAAAAGGACGCTAATGTTCACGCCATGAATACAACTATATGATGTCTCACCTTTTGATAGGCTCATTGCAGGCTCGTGAATACGATCCTCTATCAAACAGTACCGAACTTGTCGGAAGAATCGTCCGAATGAAAGGCGTAATTCAGTCTTAATAACTGAGTTGAGAACGTAAATTAGCCACCTGAAAGAGTTACAAAGCTGACATTTCGAGCGTTAGCCCTTCGTCAGAGCGATTGACGAAGGGCTAACGCTCAAAACGTCAGTCTTTGTAAAGACCTACTCTGGGACCTTAAGTTGCCCTAAGTCGCCTTAAGTCGCCTAAAGTTGCCTAACATCGCCTTAATTCGCTAATGGTACGAAACGTTATAAGGTTTCCACCCTTCCCAACTGACCCCATTCACCCCACTCTAATCATGTTGTGTTTATTTCAAGGAATTCTGCAAATATTTTTACATTTTATGGAGAGACTGTTGTTAACTTTCATTTTATCACTTCAGTTAAATAAAATCGCTTTAAGTCGCCTTAAATCGCCTAAAGTCGCAACGTTTTTTCTACTAATTTGCTTAAGTCGCCTGAAATCTCCCAAAGTCGCTCAAAGTTACGGCGACTTAAGGCCCCAGAGTAGGCCTTTGTAACTCTTTACGCTAGCCAATTCAGATGTTATACTTTCCCACCGACGCAGTACACTCACACGGTCTGCGGCAGCCTCGTTTCTATGTATTTTCGTGCCTAGGGACTCTTCATCAAACATCCCGAGTACTAAACCAGTGTCATCTCTGGATAAAACACAGATGAATGTTAGAACCATTGAAAGTCTGATCTTAAAGTTCGACAAGCTCACTATTAAAAACATTAGAGCATCATGCTTCCACATGTCATTGCAGGGTCCATTTCATGGTAAAAAAGGAAAAAAAACAATGATTGTCTCTCATCACGACAACTCCCTGATCATGAGTTTCTAGGCGCATTTAAAAAAGGTAGCTTAAACATAATATGTGAACAGAAAGTTTAGAACCGGTGTAAAAGACAGAAACCAGATGCGGAAAGAAAATTAACGACTCGTAAAGATTGATTGTGCGTAAAGAATGTTAAAGATTCGTAAAGAACAGCGAGTAAAGATGTGTAAAGAATATTGAAGACGCGTAAAGTGTTAAAAGCGAAACTGGTCAAAATACCATGGTAATCTCTAAGAATACCATGGTATTCTAAGAGAATACATAGTGCACAGCTCAAGTATGACGGATATGGGGTATATGCGATAAATGTCCAACTCATCACTGGCTATGGGAACGACTGAAATTGTTTTGTAAGCGTTTGTGTGAACAACAATATGTTGTTTGTTTCACACAATTAAGGCATAACTCTAATAGAAGTCGCCTCTCGTAAAAGCCAAGTCGTTCACAAATCACAAAACGCACGATGCACCTCGCGCCATTTCAGAGAGGAATCCTTTTGATAGATCAATAAGAAGCAAGTTTTCAAAAGTGATGAAGAAGAGTTCAGATATTTGCTGGAACCAAAGTTGAGGGAAGTCAAGATGGTCCCGTCTTGGAATGCCAGTTTAAGCAGCCAATTGGTCTTTGTGCTGAGTTTGACTCCGTCGTATTTATTTGCGATGCTCAATTAATCTCGTTGAAAATAGTCAAGCCTCTTTCCGAAACAGCGAGATTTTAAAAATCCGTTGGCAAGCTTTACGATGCTTTTCTCTGCGTATAAGAAAGGACAATCCCCTCCTCCAAGAACTTTACCAGAGGCTACAGAAAAGGTCAAGGAATGCAAACAGATACTCGCTGAGTATGAAAAGTTAGTTCGCTCTGTACAGGGATGCTATAGGATGATACTGAATTAATGAACCCCAAGGCAGAGTTTCTGCCGTAACTGTGAGGTCGGTCGACATGCTACATTGGGATTGGACAGAATGAAGTCACTGTTTTCCTCTCTTTTTTTTGATGCCACGAACCTCCTAAGCTACATGACCCTTGACGTTGAACACCTGTACTCTACCAGCCACATCAAACAATCGCTACTATCAAAAAAGGAATACTGCAGAGACCTTGGAAATACAATAAAAGAGAGTACCAAACAGCTCCCGTCTAGAACAGTGTATCATTACACCAGATCAGGATCAACAACAGTTTTCTAAACTAGAGGTAGATCTCTTAGTTAGCAGTTAAAGATCCTTTAAAAGTGTCAGAACCTTTTTCAAAAATTGTTTAGCTAACACACAACAGCTTAAGGTGCGTTTTTCACCTTTCCACTTTGTTATGTTAATTTGCTTAAAAACCCCGCAGGAGTTTCGTAACCCAGAACTGTTATGAACCTATTAGCATTTTTGTTTTTAACTGCATGTGTTGTAAGTTTGCTGGTCAGTTATAGCTTAATGGTTGTGTATTAAAGGTCGTATCTTAAAAGTTTAGAGTTGCTTTTCGAGTGAAGACACAACAGTTGGCGACGAGAATGGCGGATACACCGGGAGAACCAGCGCAGCCTAGCATCGTGGTACATCCATCGTGTTCAGGGCGTATGGAGGAGTTTACGCCGGGCAGCGATTGGAAACATTATGTGGAGCGATGCGAAATGTTCTTTGAAGTTAACAGTGTGCCGACAGATAAGCGTGTACCGAGCATACTTACATTACTGGGTAGTAAGATGTATGCTTTATTGAGGTCCATTTTAGCGCCGAGGAGAGCGAAGGAATTAAATTTCGCGGAAATTGTGGAGATTCTGGCACAGCATTTGGATCCAAAACCGATAATCATCGCGGCCGGAAAGATATAAGTTCCACAAAGCCGAACAGGAAGAGTCGGAAACGATTAGGCAGTACCTCGCCAAGCTACAAAAGTTCGCGGAGACCTGCGAATTTGGCCTTTATCGCGAGGAAACCATTCGAGACCGGTTTGTTTGTGGTTTACGTTCACAGTCAATTCAACGCAAGTTACTTGCTGAAGCGACGCTGACATTACAAACGGCAGTGGAGAAAGCCTGTGCTAGTGAGTTAACGGAAAAGGAAGCCTCAGAATTTCATGGTTCCGCCCCTGATGTCAAGAAATTCGAGGGAACTTTTCCCGAGTGCTTCAGGTGTGGTAAAACTAACCATTCTCCGGAAAAATGTTTTCATCTTAAAGCACAGTGCCATAGATGCCAGAAGTTTGGCCACATTATACTTAAGTGTCCGGAGAAGCGTGCACCTAAATCCAAGGGTGGAGAAAGTAAGAAAAGTAGAAAAAAGAAGAAAAAGAAACCCGGTGGAGTCCATAGCGTTGAAGAAACGGTGACAGTGGTCGAACCAGTGGACAACTCCGCCTGGCCTATGTTTATCGTAGTCGATTCTAAGCGAAGATGTAAAGATTTGATCGTGCCATTACTGATTGATGGAAAGTCAGTGGACTTGGAGCTGGATACTGGTGCTTCTGTGACGATTATTCCGAATCATGTTTGGTCAGGTGTATTGGCAGCGAAGTCTCTGCGGCAAATTGACGTGAGACTGAAGCGTTATTCAGGGCATGAAATTCCAGCTTGGGGAGGCGAAAGTCCAGGTGTCGTATGCAGATCAACAAACCTGCCTTCCAGTTATTGTCACTGCCGGTGATGGTCCAGCACTAATGGGACGAAATTGGTTGTCCGTTCTTCAACTTGACAGGAAGCAGATCAAGCAGATTTCCCTGGAGCTGTGCGACAGAGTAGAAAGATTGGTTTCTAAGTTCGCATCACTGTTTAATGGGGGCCTGGGCACTATCAAGGGAGTGACCGCTCATCTCAAGCTCAAGCAAAATGCCACCCCGCAGTTCTTTAAACCCAGACCGGTTCCCTTTGCCTTGAAAGAGAAGATTGCAGAGGAACTAAAGAGGTTGGAAGGAATCGGTGTGTTAGAGAAGGTCGAATTCTCAGATTGGGCTATGCCTATCGTGCCGGTTCTAAAACCCGATGGCACCGTGAGGATCTGTGGGGATTATAAGGTCACGATCAACCGAGCCTCGGATGTGCCTGAGTACCCCATGCCTACGGCGAAAGAATTATTTACGCAGCTGAATGGTGGTCAGAGTTTCTCTAAACTAGATCTGTCCTTGGCATATGAACAAGTGTTGTTGGATGAGGAATCCAGGCAGTATGTAACGATTAACACTCATCTGGAAATTTTCCGTAATACGCGCCTACCGTTTGGAGTGGCGGCAAGTCCAGCAATTTTTCAACAAACAATGGACTCTATATCGAGTGGCCTTAATGGAGTTGGTGGTATCCTGGATGACTTAATCGTAACTGGTCCAAACGACAAAGAGCACCTTCGCAATCTGGAAAACACGCTTAAACATTTGGACAGCATGGGTGTGAAATTAAAAAAGTCGAAGTGCGTGTTTATGAAGCCTTCAGTGGATTATTTCGCGTTCGGGGTGGACCGGCATGGAATTTATTCCTCCCCACGTAAGGTACAAGCTATCCAAGAAGTTCCAGAGCCACGGAATGCAACGGAACTAAAATCTTTTTTGGGGCTGGTGAATTATTATCGTAAATTCATTCCCGATATGTCAACTCTTGTCCACCTGTTGAATCACCTGTTGATGTTCGACGCACCCTGGACCTGGACGGAAACCTATCAAGTAGCATTCAAGAAGTTAAAGTGCACCTAAACCCAAAAAAATTTTTTCGCTTAACGAAATAAGCTTATTTTTTGGAGTATTTCTGTGCAAAATTTTTTAATTTGCTCAAATCTTTAATTTTCTGTGCCAAGTCAAAATACGGAAAATCGGCCGCCATCTTACCCCACGACCGAGTTTAAAGAGGAATGGCTTTAGCGGGTAATGTGACGTCAAATCGAGAACACAAAAGTCTGTATTTCACACATTTACACTTGTTCGGGAAAGTTGTCGTCGATATTGTCCGAAATATGCCGACTAGGTGTGTTGTATGAGGGATGTATGAAGCGTGATACCCTATTGCAAATTTGGCACGTTGCCATATCCTCCTACAACACACTTAGTCGGCATATTTTCGGACAATATCGACTAAAACCTTCCCAAACAAGTGAAAATGTGTGAAATACAGACTTTCATGTTCTCGATTTGACGTCACATTTCCCGCTAGAACCATTCCTCTTTAAACTCGGTCGTGAGCCAGGGTGGCGGCCGATTATTCGTATTTTGACCGGGCACGGAAAATTGAAGACTGATTTGAGCAAATAAAAACATTTTTGCACAGAAATACTCCAAAAAATATGCTTATTTCGTTAAGCGAGAAAAAGTTTGGATCTAGGTGCACTTTAAGTCTAAAACGGGACCGTTTCATTTAATTTTGATATCAGGGAACGCTTTTAAAAATTACCAATATTTCAAAATCCAAATATCGCATTTTGTAACACATTTTCAATTATCATTTGCACCATGCCATATAACTCAGAATCGGTTCAGGTTAAGCTCATGATAAGTGAAATTAGTGCTGTTTTCGAGGATATAAAAATTAGTTTGGGAATTTTCATATCCGCACGGAAAAACAAGGCTGATTTTCACTCGATTTTCACTCGGTCAATTCAAACATTTGCTCTTAACAGCTATATAACGCGACCTCAGCTCATGCTCTTGACCGGCATGCGCCATTGCGCACAAAAGTGATACGCTCTAGGCCATTAGTTCCCTGGTTCAACGAGGAAATGGAGGCGGCAAGGCGGGAGAAACGGAAGGCTGAGAAGATTGAAGTGGCGACGAACTGGCTCTAGGGAGGATATACTGGCGTACAAAGCAAAAAAGAACAATACGAATGCTTTGATGAATGAAGCTCGACGCAGATTCTATCATAACTTCATCCAGGATAATAGCAGCAGTCAGCGCCACATATTCTTGGCAGCGAAGAAGCTACACAACCAGGGGGATAACAGGGCGGTGTATCCACCCGTGGACGGTAACATTAACTTGGCAAATAAACTGGGAACTCTCTTTATTCAGAAAATTGAGATGATTGGTTTCAATCTCGATAACATGGCGCAAGGGCTACTACCGCTCCCCGACGACTACGCCCCAGTATCACCTCCCCCCTTCAGCAAATTTAGCCCCGCCCCCTTACGGAAGAGAAAGTTTGCAAGCTCATCAACAGCAGTACAAATAAAAGCTGCACTCTAGACCCTACGCCAATTGCATTGACGTGCTTTTACCGATCATAACGAAGATTATCAATTTATCACTTGAGTCTGGGCTATTCACTGATGACTGGAAGTGTGCACTTGTCCTTCCACTGCTGAAGAAGTATGGGCTAGACCTTCTATACAAAAACTACAGACCCGTCAGCAACCTGCAGTATGTTTCAAAGCTGACCGAAAGGATGGTGTTTGAGCAGATACACACCCATATGATAACTCATTGACGGACTATCGTAAAAATCAGAATACGGAAACGGCTCTTGTTAGAGTCACGAACGATATTCTCATGAAATTGAATACTCAAGAAGTCACCTTGCTGGTCATGCTCGATCTTAGCGCCGCTTTCGATACAGTTAATCATAACATCCTCCTTACTCGTTTGAACGAGGAGCTTGGGATATGCGGATCAGCGTTGGAATGGTTTAGGTCATATCTGGCGAAAAGAGATCAGCGAGTCTCCATCAACGGATCTCTTTCAGAGCGCTTTTGCCTGGAGTGTGGTGTCCCACAAGGGTCATGTCTGGGCCCCCTGCCTTTTCTCATTTATGCATCCAAGCTATTCAGGGTGTTTGAGGATCGACTTCCACATGTGCATTGCTATGCCGACGACACACAGATTTATCTGAGTTTCAAGCCTATCCCAGGAAGATGCAATCCGTGCGATGGAATGTTGTATCGAGAACATCAGGCGCTGGCTGATCCATGATAGACTCCTTCTTAATGACGATAAGACTGAGTTTATTATTATTGGAACTCGCCAGGAACTTAAAAAATTGCAGGCTATGAATATTAAAGTAGGTGGTTCAGAGATAAAATCTAGCTACCAAGTCATGAACCTTGGAAGCTGACTTGATCTAAACCTGAATATGCGCCACCATATTACTAATGTATGCAAGTCTAGTTTTTTCTACTTACATAATAGTAGATGCATTAAGAAGTATTTATTGAGAGACAGTTTAATTACTCTGGTACAAGCATTCATCACGAGTAGGTTAGATTACTGTAATGCTTTATTGTATGGCCTTCTCAAAGAGCAAATAGCTACGTTACAACGCGTGCAAAATGCCGCCGCCAGACTAATTATGGATATCGGGAATTATAACCCACCATTAATTTTGGCGCGATTTTATTGGTTACTTTACGTCACGTGGTGCAAAATCACAGGACAGGTATCACGCAATAACCCCCGTCCGCGTCGATATTTGTCCTCCGATTTTTTCCGTGAAAAAGAAACATGAGTTTCAACATTTCCTTTCTCCTATTTGCATGAAAGGAAACCAAACTGTTTTTTTTTTTTAGTCTAGCGATAGTGACATTAAGGAGCTGATCTCAAAAGCTGTTCCGAAAAGTACAAAAAAGACAACAAAATATGCTGTCGATGTCTTTGAAGGTGAAGAAAGTTGCAAGTAGACTTTTAAAATGTAGTCCTACGCAAATTTGAATTTAGTCAACTTGTAAAATATAATAATTAATACACTGTGATTTCTAACTATAAAATAAATCAACCGTTCTCGTCCAGCTTGAGCACGGAAAAAGGAGCGAAAAATTCCAGTTGGACTTGAAAACAGAGCCGGCAGAACTGTGAACCATGTTAAAACGTTTTTACGTTGAAGCAAGAAACGTGGAAAGAAAACCATACAGTCGCGACACTATGAAAGCCATTCGTTCTGGGCTGGACAGATTTTTATTCAGCTCCCCTCAAAGAAAGTCGTTCTCCATCATTCGAGATAAAGCATTCAAACCGACAAACGAAGCTCGAGATGCATCGCTGAAAGATCTAGCGGGACAGGGATTGATTACTTCTACAAAGCGCAAGCGTCCAATTTCCAACGCCGGAAGACCTTGAAGCTCTTTATGCAGCAAATCAGTTTGGCCTGAATACTCCGGAAAGTCTTGTAAATACTGCATGGTTTTACACCATTCTCTATTTCGGAAAAGAGGCCGTGAAAACCAACGCGCGATTAAACCCAGTGACTTTCAGCTAAAAACAACAACTAGCGGGCTGAAGTACTTTGTCTTAAGCGAGAGAGCGACGAAAAATCATCCCGGAGGAGTAAGCGAACACGAAGACAAGAGTCAATCTGTAATGATGGCATGGCCAGGAAATCCCCGTTGTCCTGTTGCCTGCCTTGGGAAGTACTTGGCAAAAAGATATCCACGATGCGATGCCCTTTGGGAGAAACCGAAAAACCACAATGCAAGCTCTTTCTGTTCAGCAGATGATGTCTGGTTTTGTAATGTACCCATGGGGAAGCACAAGCTGGAGAATCTCCTCACAGAAATTTGTAAAATAGCTGGTCTTGGAAATATCTACACTCCCCACTGCATTCGAGCCACATCGGTAACTGTCCTCAAAGCTGTCGGCTTAGAAAACTGCCGAGTAAAGAGCGTAACGGGCCATGTAAGTGATAAATCCACCGAAAATTTCATATTTGCCCTCGAAGCTTCGTTTCTCGGCCAAATATTCATTTTTCGGACAATCTCTCAGCCGCGGACATTATCAGCCGACATACCAGCCGCCCGAAGGTGTTTATTTACTAAGTAATGCCACATTACTCGAGTACTCGATGAGTTACACTGGTTACCAGTACCAGCGCGTATATATTTTAAGACCCTATCATTAGCTTTTAAAGCCATTCATGGCCTCGCACCCTCATGTATTAGCAATCTTTTAGTTATCAAACGCAAGTCCTCGTAAAATCTAAGATCAAACTCAGGTATTTTATTAGAGCCACCAAGAAGTAAAATGCAGGCAACCCTGGGTAAACGTGCATTTCAGGCAGCTGCACCGCATCTATGGAATGAGCTACCATTGCAATTACGCAATATTCGATCTGTAAAAATTTTTAAGAATTCAATTAAGACTTTTTTTTCGGCAATTCTTTCAATAGTGGTTAAGTTATGAATTTTATATAGCCAATTTAACTGTAATATGTAATTAGTTTTGAACTAGTTGAGATTTTAATATTTAGAGACATTAATTGTAAAGCGCTACTGATCTGTCATGGTACATAGCGCTCTATAAGAAATAAATTATTATTATTATTATTATTGTTGATCGCGTGTTCCTCAACAAAATTCGATTACATCGCCTCAATATTTCAGTTGTGATCATGAATGGCTTCAGTCAAAGCAGGCGGGAAGCACGCTATTCCATGAGACATAGCCAATTGCAGAGACGTGAGGAGGCTGGGGATGAATCGCAGCACGCGGCGCATACTGGGATCCTTCGGGTAGACAACTATCGCTATGTAGGAGTTTTCAACATGAAGCCTGTGAATTGTTGCGTGCCTATTTGCACCAATGACTTTAGAAATTCACCTACTCTACCTTTTTACCCCATCCCTAAGGACAGCAAATTGCAGAAGAAATATGAAGTGTTGATTCGAAACAAGAACTTAAAGTTAAAGTTGGGTAACACTCGAATTTGTTCCACGCATTTCGAAGGAGGTGAGAAGATGAGCCGCAATCACCTACCGAGTATCTTTCCGTGGAACAATT